GCGAACTGGGTGAACTTTCTCAACACGCTCTCAATTTTGTCGATATGTACGGTATAAGTTGGTAGCCATACAACATTGCAGTACTCAAGATGAGACTGAACCAGTGCGTAGTATAGTGTTTTGAGCGTTTGAACGTCGGTTATGTCGTAACAAAATCTTTTGATGAATCCCAAGGCTGCTGTAGCTCTCGAGGTGACCGCGTCAATGTGCTTTATAAAGCTAAGCTTTTGGTCAATGATGACGCCGAGATCTTTGTGGTCCCGTACGCGCTTGAAGGTAAAATCACCGTATTAATAATTAGTGTCGACGATGTCCTTTCTTTTTGTGGTGATTGTAAGGACGGCAAGGTTCAGGTGCAAATTGTTTACGTCGCACCAAACCTTTAGTTTGTCGATGGCTCGCTGTAACGCTTCCGCATCCGTGCCCGAGTGGATGATTTTCGCGATTTTAACATCATCGGCGAACAAAGAAATGAACACGTCGTCCATTTCGTCCACTATGTCGTTGATGAATAACAGGAATAGTGTGGGTCCGAGATGACTACCCTGTGGTACGCCAGATGATACGTTGAATTCATTCGACTCGCTGCTCCCATACTTAACGAATTGCGTTCTGTTGGACAGGTATGATTCGATCCAAGCAAGAAGATTGTCTGGCAGGTTGAACGATCTGAGTTTCAGAATCAATCTCTTGTGGTTTACTCTGTCAAACGCTTTACTGAAGTCCGTGTAGAGAACGTCCACTTGCGCACCAGAATTTATGCCTCTCTGGGCATAGTAGGTAAATTCGGTGAGATTAGATGCAGTGGATCTGGACTTCATGAAGCCGTGTTGCTTTTTGGTGATTTTGTCCTGTACCAGAGACCAAATTTTGACGTTCACCAAATGCTCGAAGAACTTCGCCACAGTTTGAAGCTTAGCAATGCAACGATAGTTTTCAATTTTCGATCTCGCCCCCTTTTTGAAAATAGGTGACACACTCGAGCGTTTCCATTTGTCAGGAAAATGGCCAGTTGACAATGATTCATTGAAAATCTCGGTGAGTGGAGCCGCCAAATGACTCGCACAGTTTTTCAGTATCAACGGGTGCATACCGTTGGGACCCGTACCTTTCTTTGTGTTCACGGCTTGCAGCTCTTCAAGCACGAAATTGATGTCGAGCTGGAATTCCTCAGTTTGGTGTGACTCATCGGTAGGCGATTGTTGAACGCCTTGAGTCGTTGAGTCATCGTAGTTGCTACTGAAGAAGTTCGCAAACAGGTTGGCCTGTTCGGTTTCGTTTGCTGTGCACACATCACCAAATTGCATGAATTTTGTTTTTTTGTCGGTGCTCTTCTTTAAATTGACATATTGCCAAAATCTCGATGCGTCATACTTGAGCGAGGATTTCATTATCTCCACGTATGTGTTGTAGAGTTCCGTGTTGAGTTTATCGAATTCACGAGACGCCAAAATGTATTTCCATTCAAACGACTGATGATATCCTGATCGTCTGTAGCGTTTCCATGCCTTATTTTTCCTATTTTTTAGTGTTATTAGGAATTTATTTTTCCATGGACAATTTTGTATCGACTTGACGATGTAAGTAGGCACAAATTTGATGATTGCATCGTCCAAAGTCTTATGCAGCAAGTTCACCTTCTCGATGATTGTCTTTCCATGGAATAATTCGGTGAAGTTAATATTTGCAAAACGGCTGAATCCGTTTCGGATGACACTGGAAATCTCAATCCCGATGGCATTGAAAACGACGCAGAATCTTTGAGCAGCGAAGTGCTTTCAATCATCGATGGTAGTGACGATTCACGTCCAAATTCAAGACCAGGCTCGAGCTTGAATTTTTCTGTTGATTCACAAGATGTAAGACAATTGTTTTCTTTTTTTCAATCCAACGTCAATTGACAAATGTCAATCCATTTATGTTTTCAGTCTTCATCGTGTCCGGCACCAGCAGCAAAACAGCCAAAATTAAAACGTTTTATAGATCAAGCAAAGTTGCTCGATAAAACGCATGAAAAGATGGAAGCACGCAATTTCGAATTGATCAGAAAAATGGATGGAAGAGCTACTCTTTTGGTCGATGGATGGCAAAATTCATCTGCCAATAAACACTATGTTGCCACTATGCTTGCAACGTCAAACGATCAGAAGGTTTTCTTGGAATCATTCAACTTTTCAACTCTCCGTGAAACAGGAGAGAATCTGAGTGACGCTGTTGAAAAAGCAATTGAGCTGGTCTCGCAAACCGTTTAACAGATGCCGGTGGCCATAAACCAGTCTTGCCTTGCGCAACACGTTGGACAAGTCAATGCGGTGCAGCGGAATCAATGATTAAGAATTTGACTGCTATGAAAACAGTAACCGCTGCGTGTGATGCCGAAGCAGATGTTGATGAAAAAGCCATAAAACCCAAAGCCAGTGTATCATCACTTCTTTTCAACGTGGATTTTCTTGCGTCAGTTAAAAAATTGATTGAAGTTTTGAATCCAGTTGCTGAATTGACGAATTTTTGCCAGAAAAGTTCGACTTCATCTGCTGAAGCAGTTGAAAAATGGCTCCAATTGCAAAGTGATGGTCCTGAAGAATTGAAACCATTCTTAGAATACCGCACCAAACAAAGCAATGTTTTCAACACCGTTACAATGACGGCAAACTATTTACATCCAGTTTATCGCGGTAAACGGATGAGTCAAGAACAGCTCAATAAAGTCAAGAAGTACCTGTTTGAAAAGCTCGATGGTGATGAGCTTGAATCTCTGCACAAATTTACGGAAAATGAAGAGGTATTTGGCAATTTGGTTCGAAAGAAAATTGTTTCGCCAAGAACATTCTGGCATTATGCCGCCGAACTTAATCATAAAAAGCTAGCTGCCTTCGCTATGGACTATTTAAAGATTCCAGCATCAACAGCCCAACTGGAACGTCTGTTTTCTCATTGGTCGCATGTGCATAGCGATACCAGAAACCGGCTGTCCGATGAAACTTCTAAGAAGCTTGTGAACGCATATTTCACATTAAGATCAACCGATGATTTACCCGATGAGGACAGCGACATTGAAGACGACATCGACAATGACAGTGATTCCGATTCTGACTAAAATCAATGATATCATTAATTTCAATAAATGAAAACTGTTTAAACTCACAATTAACATGTCATTTTCCAGACAGAAATCAAAATAATTTCTAAATAAAGTGCAAATTTCATTATTTGTAACCAAAAATCGCTTGCAGTTTGTGTTCAATTTCCATGAAAATAGGTTTTCGACATGATCATGTAATCTACATGGCCTTTTCCATGTAATCTGCAGTAAGTATTCTACGTATTCGACATGTCGAATACGTGCCTGAGTTTTCGACATACCATCCCTGATTTCTATACATTTTGTAGGGATGTAAGATAACAATTTGTCAATATTTAATATTAAATTTTTGGCTTTGTTCGCTGCGTATCGACGAGATGAAATTAGCACGGCTGGTTGAG